TTTATGTTTATTTTTGCCTTATGTTGATGTGTGTGCATTTGGTAAAGCAGTCAAATGCAAACACATCAATATAGGGGAAAAATAAACATTAACACAACCAAAAAGAATCACCTTCCATTGATGGGCACTTGGGTTGGTTCCAAGTCTTTACTATTGTGAACAGTGCCACAATAAACATATCTGTGCAAGTGCCTTTATAATAGAATGATATATAATCCTTTGGGTATGTACCCAGTAATGGGATTGCTGGGTCAAATGGTATTTCTGTTTCTAGATCCTTGAAGAATTGCCACACTGTCTTCCACAATGATTGAACTAATTTATACTCCCACTAACAGTGTAAAAGTGTAAAAGTGTTCCTATTTCTCTACATCCTTTCCAGCATCCGTTGTCTCCTGGTTTTTTAATGAGCACCATTCTAACTGGCATGAGATGGTATCTCAATGTGATTTTGATTTGCATTTCTCTAATGACCAGTGATGATGAGCTTTTTTTCATATGTTTGTTGGCTGCATAAATTTCTTCTTTTGAGAAGTGTCTGTTCATATACTGGATAAAGAAAATGTGGCACATATACACCATGGAATACTATGCAGCCATAAAAAAGGATGAGTTCATGTCCTTTGCAGGGACATGGATAAAGCTTGAAATCATTCTCAGCAAACTGACACAAGAACAGAAAACCAAACACTGCATGTGCTCATGCATAAGTGGGTGTTGAACAATGAGAATACATAGACATAGGGAGCGGAACATTACATACTGGGGCTTGTTGGGGGATGGGGACAAGGGGAGGGATAGCAGGGGGTGAAGGGATAGGGGAGGAATAGCATTAGAAGAAATACCTAATGTAGATGACAGGGTGATGGAGACAGCAAACCACCATGGCACATGTATACCTATATAACAAACCTGCACATTCTGCACATGGAACACACAACTTAAAGTATTAAAAAAAATAAACTGAGAGAAAACAAGAATCACCTTCCAGAATTTATGAACTAGTTCACTCTGAAAAGACCATACCCTATGGGGGAGGGTTTATTGGGTGGGGTGGCATCAGTGATGGTGCAGATTTGTAGTCTTTGTGTAGTTTTTTCAGCTCAGTTTAGAGCTGACACAGATCCTGAGGATCTTCAGTGGCCAAAGGAGTGGGTATTGGCAGTGGCAGCAAGAATTGATAGGGCATTCAGGGGTGATGGCTGCTAAGGCTCTTTTCTCCCACCAGGGAAGCTGGAGCTGAGAAGATTTCTCTTTGTACTAGATCTGGCTTGTAGGAACTCTCATAGTGGTCTGATAAGTGGCACTCATGGAGTAGCCATAGAACTGGGGTCTGATGCGTGGGCTCACATGGAGTGACTATGGCTCTGGGATTGAAGTGGTAATGACACTGGTGCTCAAGGTGCAGATGCCCCCTCTGCTGCATGGTATGGTAGTAAGGCATGGTTACACATGCAGAATAGTGTGGGAACTGAGAACACAGTCTTTCAGTTGGCTTCAGGGTTGGGGCAAGACCTAGCTCTCTATGACTGAGTTGTTGCCCAGGGCATATAGGTGCCTCTGCTGTAATGTTGGTAATAGTATACTTGTGAATTAGTCAAGGAGACAAGAATGGGAGCACAGGTATGCACAGAATTATAATGGCTCTGTGGCCTGGGTGGGGCTACCTCTCTATAGTGGTTAAGTCAGTGTCTGGAGTGTGGACACATGCAGGGAGAGTTTAATATTGGGGTTTGAAGTGTTAACTAGCTTACTGTGGTGCTGGCTGTGGTGTTAAAAACATGGTTGGGCCCAGTGTAGTCAGAGACTCTCAGTCTGGAGTGTGGGCATTCCCAGTAGGCCATGGCTCCAGGGCTGGAGTTTGCACATGGTTGGAAGAGATGACAATCCCATTCCCAAAGCAGCTCAACAGCAATTGCTTCTTGGGGGATGGGAGGGAGTTATAGTCACATCTCCCCCTCTGGGGTTCTCTTGCAGGAATGGCTGTTGTTTAGACAGAGGGAAAAGATCCTAGTGTCTTCTGTGGAGCAGGCCACTAGAGACAATGTTGGTCCTTTCTGTGTCTAACACCGGTAACTTCCACCTTTCTTCTTTGTTCCTAGCCAGACCATGGCCTCTCAGGTACGCCAATCTACCAGCAATTCTTTCTATGTGTTTACTCTCCATTTTTTGCTTCATAATGTTGCAGCAAATTCTTTAACGGGAACTTGAGCCCTCTCTGGGCTATTTCAGTTTGTGAATAGCTATCTATACTTGAACGTTTTAGAGGGATGAAGGTGAGTATCTCCTACTCTGCAATCTTGGTGATAGCTCCTAAACAGAGATTTTCTGAAATTCCAGAAACTACTAATTCTCCCAGTCATTGCAGAGGTCTGTGTGAATGTTGGAGCATGACACGTAGCCAGGTAACTGACAATTCTGTCTTTGCCTTCACTTCCTCCTTGCAGAAAGCCTCAAGATCAACAGCTCAGTACCTTCTCTGTTTCTTCCTTAGGATGATCATAGTCATAGGCATATACCTAGTCTTCTAGATTTTGGGGACTATGTCAGAGATTTTCAAATTTCCTATGGATATGTCATTACTCAGCTTATGTTTTTAAGCTTTGGTTAGTCTATTGTTTTCCCCAACTATTATCCAATACCTCAGTCATAAGCAAAGTTAAGCAAAGTAATTGTTTTGATAAATGCCCAGAGGAAAAAGGTTTTTCACAGTGGGTGAGTTCTGATTTAAGTAAAATAAAGATAGCTTTGCAAGTGGAGTCTTCCAGAAAACTGCCAGACATATCAAATAATGGCAATTTCTTGGAAATTTGAAAGGGCTCTATCCCTGTTCTGCTTTCTACAGTGGCTGCCAGACAATTTTTAACTGTGAATGAGAGTTATTAAGTTTTAAGGCTATTACAGAGTTGAATACTGGGGGATGAGAATAATACAAGCCAAAACACCACAAAGCTCATTTTTCTCACTGAGATTCAGCCATTTTCCTGAATAAATGCTCCCTGGGTAACTGCAAATCTTTGGTTAATTTCCAGAGTCCTACAAATTTGATTCTGATAATTTTTTTTTTTGCCAATTTTCTTGCTTCCTTTATAGAAGAGAGAATTATCAGAATTTCTTTCTCTATCGTTTTCCCCATGTCACAGATATTTTATATATAGTATTATCTTACCAGTTATTGTAGATACAGTTAGAAGAAATGTTACTGACATGAATTTTTCTAAATCAAGAAGACATTTTAAAGTTAACAATTAGGAGAAAACATAGGTTATAAAATACTTTGGAAAAATATGAAAATACAAAGATATGTATGGTTTCCAACCTCCAACATGTCAAAAATAATCCTTGCTTCCTAGTTTTGTGGGTCTTCCTTCCCCATACAGAATCAGAGTTGATTTGTACAACCAAAATAATCATATGAAAGTGATAGTGTATGACTTATGCGACTAGCTCATAAAATACATTGCCACTTCCACCTTAATCACTTGAATATGTTATTCTTGGAAAAGCCAACTACCATGCCGTGAGGACACTAAAATATACCTATATCTCCATGTGGAGAACTGAGTGTTCCACCAAAGCCAGCACTAATTTCCCACCTATGTGAGTGATCCATCTTGTCCAGTCCCAGCCAAATGTTCTGACGGCTACATTACCACAAAGCATCTGACTGAACCTTTTGATAAGCCTTTATCCAGATCTGCCCAGCCAAGCTCCTCCTGGATTCTTGGCTAATAGGCTGTGAGACAGTAAATATTTATTGTTTTAAGCCACAAAGTTTGTCATAATTTGTGTCTCAACAATTAATTACTAATATAATAAGCAATTGAAAGCATTTATTTACAAGGAAACAAATATCCTCAGAAAGAAATTGAAATATGTTTTAAAAAATTTCCCCTGAGAAAACACTAGCCATACATAATGGTAAAGGCACTTTCACACATAACAAACTTTCAAGGTTATATTCAGAGCACAAAAGAAGATTTTAACTGTAACCATTCCAAATTCATTTTCTGAATATGAAATAACTTCATTACCAAGACCTGAAAATAATAAAACCAATAAAAATTATAATTTTACTTATGAATATAGATACAAGTATTCTAAAAGATTCTACTAACAAATGAAATCTAGCAGGATAAAGCTTTCTAGAAATGCACTATATGGCCATAAAACAATAATAATTTCGATCTGAAGTACTAGCATCAGAATACAAATATATTAATCAAAAATAATTTTAAGAACTCAGAAACATGGCATCAGACATAAAATCATTTACGAATGATTCATTCTTTTCATACTTAGTTGAAGTGTCTTAATCTATATTATATACAACTATGACATATTAATAATATAAGTATGTGGTATACATATAATATTTTAAGTCAAATATACATATGATACATAAATGTGTCTTACAATGAAGCAGACTGACATTCAAAGCACGGATATCTTTAACCTAAAAATAGATCTTAGAAAAACTAAAAAAAAATCTCTCTCAGTTACAAAATCGTTCAAAAAGGAAAATGGGAAATTTGAGAGGAAGAAATTCAAATGCCAATAGATACTTTAAAAAGTATAATTTAGGTAGTAATTCAATAGATAATCGTTATGTTCTAACAAATTACCCTTGTTTTACAAAAAGAACAGTAGCCAGTGTTGACTTCATTTGAGGGGCAAAAGGTAAATATCATTAACAAACTTTTTGGAGATCCATAATATGCCAAAATCCTTAATATTGACCCAGACATTTTATTTAACGTTTGAAATATGAATGCTTTACCTCCTTAGCATTGCTTGTTTGTGTTTTCTTTACATAGATACTATTTTTAGCAAAGGAAATACATTAAAAAAAACTTACAAATTTTTATTACCCTTCCATGTAGGAGAAAATGGGGAGTCTGATGCATAGAAATGAAGGTTTTATATTATTTTCCTATGATAAATCTAAGAGCTAACTCTGGTATCAGTGTGTCTCATCACATTTGGAAGGTGTTACATACCTGCAAATAGCGGACCACTCGGCAAACCAGGTCAGGTGCCATGAAGTCTCCAGTGAATCGCCAAATAATATCTGTCAGAATGTTAACCAGTCCTGTGAAAGAATCTAACAAAAACATACAAGTGCTTACATTCAGGTTTTTTTTTTTTCCCCTCCAAATTTGCAGCTAAGCCACAATAGAAATGAAATCCTGGGGAGCTTCATTTTTTTTTTCTTCCTGATGTATCAGATTTCCACTGGGGAAAAGTAAAGCAAGGTAGGAGTTCTTTGACTTTTATTATTAGAGCTTGTTACCACTTAGATGTAACCACCTAGGAAAAATTTTAGTAATTACTGAAGGGAAATCACGCTAATCATCAATCTAAGTGTCCATCGACAGATGAAAGAATAAAGAAAAGGTGGTACATATACATAATGGAGGACTATTTGGCTATAACAAAGAATAAGATCCTGTCATTTGCATCAACATGGATAGAACAGGAGATCATTATGTGACATTATCAATTAAGTGAAATAAGCCAGGCACAGACAAACATCACATGTTCTCAAAATATCTCCTGTATCTCATAAATATATACACTTACTATGTACCCACAACATTTTTTTTAAATTAAAAAAAACATCCCACAGTGCTGCAGGGATTCTCTGCTGATTAATGGATAGGACTGGAACAGAAAACTGGATAAGCAGGAGCTTACTGACTTGGATCACTTTTTGGGGACATGGGATATAATATACCCTGTCAAGGACCCCAGAGGGAGGGCAAACTTATTCCTAAGGTAGTACTTAGAAGGATGGAGAAAGTGATGGTCCTAAGAAGAATGGAAATGCTTGAGTTTCCCTGGTAGATACTAGAGAAAATAATGAAAAGGCTAAAGGAAGTTGGCATGCTGTAACAGATGTATTGAGAGAAGCCAGAAGACCCATGAGAGTTCCTTGAGATGGCTCAGAAGGCAGCAGCATCATCAAGAAACTCAGTAGTGGTTTCCATCTGCAATCCAGGGTGGATGGTAGGAAAGAGAGTCATAGAGCCAGGTCTTGCAAAACTATAGAAAGTATGTAGTGTAGTGCGATGATTCCTCTAATCTTTTCTCAAAGGGTCCTATGCCTATTTATTTGAGTGACTGTACACTGGGGAAATGAAAATACTCAGATATTTTTGGGACCATTAGGCACAGGGTCTGAATTAACATAAAATCCAGAGACATAGACTACTATTAGAATGAAATCTTATGGGACCAAGTAATAAATAAAATCCTGGCTACAGCAAAATGGTCCACTAGGTCTGCATTCCTTTCCATTAGTCATTCCCTCGTTCCCTAAATATTTAATTGGGATCGATCTACTTGGCAGTTGAAGGAACCCTGTATTGGTTTTCCCATTATAGTAGGAAAGGCCAAGTAGAAGTCATCAATTCACCAGTCTGGTCCCTGTAGAAAGTGGATGGATCCTGGAGAATGAGCAGACTGCAGCAAGCTCAAACAAGCAGTAGCCCTGATTGTGGCTGTGGTTTTGGACATAGTATCTTTGCTAGAGCAGGTTAATATGGCCTCAGGTAAATGGCATGCAGATGTTCATTTGGCAAGAGTGTTCTTTACTAATCTGATCAGAGAAGAAGATCAGAGTTTGTATTCACATGAAACAGACAATAATATTCATTTTCTGCTTTCCCCAGGGCTGTGTTACCTCTTCAAATGCCTGTCATAATAAGGTCTGAAGAGGGCTCAACCATCTGAACATTCTGTAGAATATCACATTGATCCATTTACACCAAAGACATCATTAAGAGTCAACAAGAAATGTCTAATACATTAGAGGCCTTGGTAGGACACATACACTCTGGAAAGTGGGAGATAAACCCTGTGAAAATTCAGGAACATGCCACATTGGAAAGGTTTTAGTGGTTCGGTAGGGAAAGGCTGCTAGAATACCTTCCCCCCACCACTGTATTTTCAAGTAAAAGTTAAATTGCTGTATCTTACATTTCCTGTCTCAATAAATAAAGCAAGATACCTGGTATCTTTGTGTTTGGGTGGCAATACATTTCATATCTAGTAATATGTTTGGTCTCATATACTGAACTGCATAAAATCTCATATATCTTTGAGTGGGCCTGGAGCAAGAACGGGTTCTGCAGCATGTGTGGGCTGCAGTATAAGCAACCCTACTACTCGGAGCATATGATCTGGCTGACCTGATGGTGCTGAACGTGTTAGTAGGGAAAGACACAGTTCGGAGTTGATGGTTGCCCAAGTGAAAAACTCAGCATGCAGGTCCCTAGGGCTGTGAAGCAATGCCATGCCATTTTCAGCGTAAAGTTATAAACCTTTTGAGAAACTGTTTCTCGAATGTTGCTGAGCCTTGGTCAAGATGGAATGGTTGATAATCGGATATCAAATGTATTTGGAACTGACTATTATGAGCTAGATTATTGCTGATGCACTAAGTCATACACTCAGACATGTCCCACAGCCTTCTACTAAAAAATGGAAATGGCACATCTGGGATCAAACCCTTATGGGACTAGACTGGCATAGGAAGCTGCATGAGCAGGTAGCACAGATGCCTCCATGTTATCCACCAGGGTTGTACCAGTGCCTTTGCATAGCTCACACTTATGGTTATATGGGGGGTTCTCTATGACTAGCTGAAAGGGAGGTAAAGGGCCAATCTTGGTTGACAATGGGTTAGTTCACTATGCAGCTGTAAAGCAAAAATAGATGGTCACTGAAGTGCAGCTGCATTATGGGGTAGCCTTGGAAGACAGTGGAGAAGGATGTTCTTTTCAATGAACGAAGCTGTAAGCAGTGCATATGGTTATCTACTTTGCATGGAAGAAAAAAATGGCCTAATGTATGAATATATGTACAGATTTCTGTACAGTAGCCAATAGTTTAGCTATGTGGACAGGGACCTGAATAAAAGGGACTTGGAGATGAGAGACAAGACTATGAGACAGAGGCATGTGGTTGGGACTATGGGAGTGGGCACAGTGTGTGAAGATTCTTGTGTCATGCATTTGACATTAATTGGGAAGCATCAAGTACACAAGAAGCACTAAAAAAACAAATAGACAAGGTAACTTGTCCACTTGGCATGATCCAGGCTTTGTCATCAGATAAGGTACTGGTATGATGGGCACATGAATGGAGTGGCCACGCAGCAAAGAGCAACACTACTCCTGGCCAGTCTAGCTACTGCTGAATTTGAATGCCCAACTTGCTAACGAAAGAGACCAACACTGAGCCCTCAATAGGTTACTAGTTCTTCAGGAGATCAGCTGGTTGCTTTGTGGCAAGTTGACTACAGTGGGTGCCCTCTGTCCTGCAGCAGCCAACTGTCCATCCTTCCAATGATGCACTTATTCTGGGTATAAGCTTTCCTTTCCTCATCTCTGAGTTGTAGTCTACACAACTAACTATTCTCTGGGGGCTTTAGGATTACCAAACTAGAACGGAATTCCACATATAGTCTCTGATCGGGGACCCACTTAATAGTGCAGGGGGTGTAGGATTGGCTCATGATCCTAGAACCTACTGTTCGTATCACATACTACACCAGACAGAAGTAGTTGTACTTTGAGCACCCTAGTATGAACTACTGAAGGAAGCGATGAAGTGCCAGGGTCCCATCCTTTAAAGTGCAGCATATGTGTTAAATCAGAGCCCACTTCGTGGTCTTGGGTCCCTAACAGAAGTATACATAGGTCTTAGAATCAAGGGGTAGAGGAAGGAATGGCCTCAGTTAACGTCACTCTCATTGACCCATGGAAGGGCTTTGTGCTTCTTCATCTGTACCTCTGTGCTCTTCAAGTTGGAGGTCCTGCTCACCAAAGGACTTGTACTTCAGCCAGGGAACGTAGCAAAGGTCCCATTGAACTAAAAGTTATGGCTGCCACCAGGGCACTTTGGATTCTTTGTGTCTAGGGACTAGCAGGCAAGAAGAGGAGTCACCATCTTGGCAAGAGTGATTGGTGGTGACTAGCAGATGGCGGTAGGGCTCTGTTTACACAATGAGAAAGGCAGGCATATGGGGAGAACACAGGCGATTTGCTCGGAACTGTCAAGTTGTGATTGATGGCAGACAATTAGTGGATGGGACCAGGGATGTTGAGCATCTTCACCAGGCCCTCAACATAGGGTTGTTCAGATTATTTGTGCTCTAGGGTGCCCTGCCCCTGCTGTGGGTGAATGGGGGCTGAAATTGAGTATTATTGTCTTGCAGACATACATCCTAGTTGCACAAAGACAAGGCAAGTGTTGATTCTCTGGACTATCCATGAGCCGTACCCGCGGGTATTAAATTATTCAGCTCAGAATTCCAATCATGCCTCTGTTGAGAAACGTTGTTAGGCTGCATGAGAGATTTGTTGTTTCTGTGCAATTCTAGTCAGACAGAGAACTGGGCAGAACTCTGCTCAGAAACAGAGTGTGAACTTGGCTGGGTTCAGGCTCTCAGAAAATTGAACAGCTGAAAAAGAAAAGAAACTGCAACTTTGGGGACTGATCTAGGATACTCACAGTTTCATTTCCAACAGTTTATTTGTATTGCTGTGTTTCTGCTAAAGAGCAATAGTAAAAATGGAAAGTCACACTGTCATTTGGTTAATTGCTTTTTGAATATTGGAAAATGAGGTTTATTAACGTTAGAACAGAAGGAGCTCAGGGTATGGCACGCAGCAAGTGCTGAGCTCATACTTGAATGAATTGCCATTGTGGTTTGAAAAGGCTTTAAAAAAAATAAAACAAAATAAAAATTTTTTTGAAATAATTAGAGGCTCACAAGAAGTTACAATAAACAGTACAGAAACGTTTCATGTGCCTACCACACACCATCCCCCAATGGTAACACCTTACATAACTCTAGGTAGATTTCACGGCTTAAAGGAGAATTATTACCCTTAACCTGGCTTCTCTAGAACACAGAACATGATTATGAGGGTTGTTATTAAGCAGTTATTATATCCTTGGCAAGGTTCTAAATAGTTAGAATCATTAACTTATTTAATCTCACAACAAACTATGAGGTAAAATCTCAGTTTTATTGATGAACAAAATAAGAGGGATTAAAACATTTTAAGATTTTAGAGAAAGAGGTGAAGCTAG